TTGTAATAGCAAATACACTACAGTTGAAAAGTTTGGGATCAGTAATATATTTTTTAGATTTAATATATTATTTTTAAATCAATTTTTTCAAAGATATTTATCATGTTACATAAGATTTCTATTTCAAATAAATGCTGTTTTTTTTCTTAAAGTCCCCATGAAATCAAAATGGAAATGAAAAAAAAAAATGAAAAATTCGTATTTAGAAGATATAAGCATTCAAAATTTACACAGTCTCTCATTTCCGGTTTTGATGACATCACCCTGCACTTCAGCTTCTCATCAAACTTTCTGTCCAATCAAATGCTCTTTAGAATCCGAAGCGTCCCGTCCCCTGGTCTATAAATAGACGCTGAATCGGCTGAAATCGGTCACTTGTTTACAGAATTTGTATTTTCTGTACGGAAAATGGCACATAGTGCATTATATAGGGGATAGGGAACAATTCAGACAGTGTAAATATGCTTTACATTGGGGCAAAAGAAGTCTGGTCACGCGAACCGCCGCAGCGCTCAGTCTGCTCAGGTCCAGAGACACGATAGCACGGAGCGGATCATATGCATGAATCGACGCAGACCACAAAACATATTGGACTCGTTTGAATTGACGTCATCAGAGAAGGAATGCCATTCCAGAGTGGAAGTTAATGTTTAGATTTTGATTAAAGATTCCCAAGACAAACATTTTTTTCAGCAGATTAACTTGCACGGATTAATTGTTCACATCAAGACTAGCAATGTGCGCTAGCAAAGTAAATAAAGTCGATTTCATGCGGACTTTAAAGGGGTCCTATTATGCTCTTTTACAAAGCCTTTCGTTGTAGTTTTTGAAAAGTTATCTCCTTTTGAAGTGGACTTTGAGCTTTGTAACTTTGCAGATCTTTTTTATGCTCAAACAGCAACATTACAGACTAACTAAAGTTGAAAAAGTGAAAAAGCATAATAGGACCCCTTTAAACATGCAGCTGAAGACTGCTTTGGTATTCACCATAAGAATGATGGAAAGCATCTTATGTATTGCTGTCATGCTTATTTAATGAAGATACAGTACCATTCAAAAGTTTGGGGTCAGTACTATTGTTATTAGTAGTTAATTCATATTTTTATTCATCAAGGATGCATTAAATTGATCAAAAGTGACAGACATTTATAAACTTTTGAAGTATGAATACTTCATTAAGTATCAAACTAATTAAGTATGAAGTGTGATTTTTGAGATATTAAAAGCATCTTTGGGTCTCTCCACACACCAAACAGAACATTAGAGTCAATTAGCATTAACCCTATATACCCTATAACCCTATAGCAATAAAAACTGCAACTGTTAATGATCACAGGCTCTGCTGAGAGCCACGGCACGGCAGGAGACAGCCGTACTAATGCTGACGGCCTTTCATTTCCTCCCTGGACAATGGCTGTCACACTCTGGATGGGAGGGAAGAATGAGCTGTCACTGAAAGCACCCTCATACGCACGTCTGCTCTGCTTCTTGGCATTGCAATGAGAGCGTATACGCCTATGAGTGTGTGTGCCGGTGTGAAATAATGTGGGAGACAGTAAAAAACGAGCAAGCGAGGACTCCCTCAGAAGCAGAATACCGGGCATCCCCCTCCGCCCTTCCCTTTTCTCACATCCTCTCTGATTCTTCCTCTTTTCATCTTCAGTCGCTCCACTTCCCTACTGCGGCAAACGCTCGTCCCATTTCCATTCATCATGCATTCATTCATTTCCTTCGCTCTCATTTGTCTGTACTCCAAAGCAAGGCATCTTCAGGGTCCGCTGGGAACAGCGTTTAGAGATGAAGAAAAGCAAAACGCAACTCGGTTGATCAACATCTCAGGTAGATGTCTGTGTAATAGGTGTTATGTGAAAACCAGAGCCGACAGCTCTTCATTTATACGCTAACGTGCCATAGGCTTCTTTTAATGAAGGCAGCTTGTGTTTGTCTACAGTCTCTCTAGGGTAGGAAGCTCATTATGGAGCACTAAACTTCCAGTCTCCTCCTTTAGCAGGGCGAATTGATAAATAGGAACTGCATAGCAAACATCAAGGTTACATGCTTAATGTTAACTGTTATCTGGCAATAGGAACTCCCACAAAAAACTGACAACTTGTATGATATACAGTAGCAAGGACGTTTTCTCTGAGGAAGCATCGTCTTCAAAATATTTGGATGAGAATTATAATTGGACAAGGAGTATGACTGCTGGTCTCTTAGGAGTTGGTAGATATAGATACAAAGACAGACTTGTTCCCTCTAAATTTTCCAGATTCTCCTCTGGGTAGAGATATATTCATAATTGGCCCTTAAAAGTTAAAAAATTGAAACATTTCTTGACGTGGGTGGTATTGGGGGCTTAATTACATCCATAAAATAATACCAATACATGTGTTTTAATCTTAAAGCATAAGCCTTATTAGGCTTTCTGTCAGTTTCAGTCCCTGTCATGATCAAAATGTGAGATTAATATTTTAGTTGGGTATGGTACAACATTTTGCTCATTTTGAGGTACCAGCAATTATAATTCTTGAGATATCATGCCCTAAAAACATGGCATCACTGACATTTTTTGGCATGGAAATAATTATGGGGCTAAAAAAATATTCAAAATCTGCAGGAAACTAGCCCATGGATTAATTACACAGCAACCAGAAAACTCCTAGCAAAAACTATTCAGAACACCCTAGCAACCACACTGCATTGTGGGGAAGTCGTGGCCTAATGGTTAGAGAGTCGGACTCGTAACCCAAAGGTTGCGGGTTCGAGTCTCGTACTG